AATTTAACACACGTTGCCCGTACCAAGATTCGTGGCGAAGAGATTGAATTTAACGTATTTTGGCGGGATGTCTATATTTCCGTCAGGTACAGTTTTGTTGCATGCTAGGAGTATTTTTATTATTTTAAATTTTTATTTAATTTAATTTATTTTACACAACGTTCTTATGTTATTGTCTTACTTTATTTATAATTTTCATAATTATTATTATGTTATATTTTATTTGTATTTATTTATAACAATAATAATAATATCCCTACATTAAGAAAATCAGAACAAAGTCTCGTATACCATCGCTTCCGAAGTCTGCGTTGCTTGACTCTGCAAATATTCTATGAAAAGTGCTATCTGTTTGAAGTTGTACGAATTGATGCAGAACACTCATAATGTAAGATCCCCGGTTGAACCAGTGCGGGAGAAGATAATAATAATAATAATAATAATAATAATAATAATAATAACAGCTCAAGCCTATAGGTATGATTTTAGGTTGTTTTATTTTTACCTGTTTACAAAAGATATCTAGTGGAAAATGTCATGGTGCCATTTTTGACATTAGGTCTCCGGTTGGGGTCCGGAAGGAAATGAATATACAACAGAAATCAAAGGAAATAATAATAATAATAATAATAATAATAATAATAATAATAATAATAATAATAGATAAATAAATAAATAAATTTTGATTGACAATAATTGCAGCGATTACAACAACAGCATGAACAAATTGGATACTCAGAAATAAAATTCAACCACTGTCAAAATCAAAATTCTGCAAGCGAAAGGCCTGGAAAGGATGTTTACGCTTTGACAGAGATTTAATGACAGTTGGCTTCCAATTACACAAACCAGAATAGAAAGTCTAAGCTTTACTACATTCTAAGCTTTACTACGGTCTGAGCTTTAATACATTGCAAGCTTTACTGCGGTCTAAGCTTTCCTACGGTCTATGCTTTACTAAGTTTTAAACTTTACTACGGTCTATGCTTCACTAAGGTTTAAGCTTTACTACGGTCTAAGCTTCTGCCAGGCGATGGGGAAATCATTCAATATGGCGTTGCCTCCCCTTGCCATATATGACTTGCAACAAAAAAGTCTCTTGGAGGACGAAAATGCTCATCTTTTGGAAAATTGGCTAGCACAAAATCCTGATCTCAATGTATCTGAAATATTGTGGTGGAAACTGAAAGTTGGTAAAAGAACTAAGGTGATTCAATGAAAATTCCGCAATCCCCAAGAGCTTTGGGATTCGTGCCAAGAAGAATTGGAAAAACGTAATCTCAAAGAGAAAATTTGGACCTTGTTCCATTTAATGCCACATCGAATTGTGGGGGTTATTTAAACCAGAGGCAGCATTCACTAACTTTGAAAGCCATACTTTGACGTTTCGTACTTTTCGTAATTAATACAGGGTCACTTTTTTAGCAAAAGAAACTTCCTTTTTAACTTAAGAAAACAGCAGAAAAGGTGAAATTTTCGCTGGTGGCACAGGAGTTTTGCATGGCCTTTTTTCAGCATCGTTATAATTAGATATTCTATCATCCACTATACATTATTAACAAAACGTGACTTGTTTTCTGGTCCTTAAAGATCATGCAGTTTACTGAGAAATGTATACTGCTACTCATTCACGATTATTAGGTAAAATTAACAAAAGTAATTCATTTACTAAGATGCTTTAAAATTTTTGCACGCCACTGTTTATATACTCCTTTCGAATGTACGGAGTAATTCCCGGAAGTCCGTTTACGAAACTCCGGAGTCGGGATGCTGAAGGTAACATCAATCAGCTAAGTTACAAACATTTTACTTGTATTAATTCTCTCTCTCTCTCTCTCTCTCTCTCTCTCTCTCTCTCTCTCTCTCTCTCTATCTATCTATCTATCTATCTATATATATATATATATATATATATATATATATATATATTGCTTATCCTGTCAATGCTAGAGACTCCAGTGCACCAGAATATTTTACTCATTGCTAAAACAAGCAGAAGAGATGAATACATATCTTTCACAATAGCGTTGGCCTTAAGATATAAAGTGGGCCTTTAGCCGTGTCTTGATTTACAACTAACCATAGAAATACTCTAGCGTTGGACCCAAATGAAAGCAGTTGGTCCAATCGGTATGATTCCGGGCTTGTTTCTCTAAGGGCATTAGTACAAAGTGAATGCAACAATCTCGGCCGAAACTCAAGCTCTGTCAGCTGATTTAATTCTCCGAGCCCACAATCATGCACACTCTCTAGACCTCTAGCAAAATGCTTATCTTTTTTTTCTACCTTTCATATTATTCTTTATATTTTTTTTTTTATCCCCGTGAGCAAATTAAAAACATTCCTGGCCAAATCCGGAGCCATTTTCATTACTGTGATTGTTTTCGGTGATTTTTTTACGTGATTTTTTTAGACGAATTTTTTTATACGATAACAATTTTTATAACTTGGAAATTAATTTGGGAATAATCAAAATTAATTGAGAAATCCAGCAAAAGTCAACCATGAAATAAAAATAATTGTGTGTATGGAAAGTAAGGACCTACGTACATCAAATTGTCTTTAAATTAAATGGCGGCAGAAGAATTATCGTTGAACTTTTAAAAGGTAAGCTTAAATATTAATGTAATACTTAAATGCAGCGGTCCATTGTTATCGAGTTATACTTATTATAAAACCCAGATTGTGTGTGTGTGTGTGTGTGTGTGTGTGTGTGTGTGTGTGTGTGTTCGTTTATATATGGGATTGGATTTCCTACATTTTTCAACCAATTTCAACAAAACTTCACTTTTTTGGCAGGTGGTGTTTCTTATTGTCTTGCACACTTTTTTTTTTTTATTTTTACATTCAGAATGCTTTAAAATTCCATTTACAAGACAATTGTTTATAATAAAATTCTATTCAATCGGTAGACTCATAACGATTGAAAACAATGTTTTGTTTGAGTTTGGGTTTGACCAATTCGTAAAAAAAAATAAAATAAAATAAAACTAATCAATACATGCGTGTCCGTCAACCTTAAACAATAATCTTTGTCAATTTTATTTTTCAGTCTTTATGATGGTCGATACTTGATCTATCTCTTACTGTTACATCCCCGGGCAACGCCGGTCTTTACTGCTAGTACTTGTTAAATCGATTAATAACTTTTTTCTTCTTCTTTTTAGCCGGTAACCTAATGCGTTCACTTCTGCTACACGTTGAATAATTCAATGAGCTTAATTAGAGGAAAAAATAAAATCTGAAAAATAAAAATGCTCGTTTCATATTTCTCGTCTTTTCAGAAATCCAAGACGTTCCGGTTGTATAAGCGTAACAACATTTAACAATCATTGAATATTTATTAAAACACACATACACACAAGAGCAAAGAAAGCGTTTTCGTTTTTATTTTTTTTGAATGACAGCCATCGCGTGATTGAAAACGAGCAAGCAAATATATTCATTTTAACAGTTGTGCCTAAACCTGGTTCATCAATTAGAAAAAAATATAACAAACGAAAATGAACTCCGAAAAAAGCCATATGGGGAATGCGTACTGGATCGTATGCAAGTTAATAAGGTTGCGTGTTCAATATGTAAGCAAATAAGATAGAAACATATAAAACTTGAGTTTCTACTATGGACGTTTATTCTTTTTATGATGACTAGTGAAACAAAGTTCTCAAAGTCTCTTGGGTATGTCCGTTTTTCTTTTTGGTTCAGAAGTTAGGATGTTTTGATATTTAGTTTGTTTTGGGGGTTCAACCCTCCCCTTTCATGATCATTCATCCGATTTGTATATATAAATTGTAAATAATATTTATCATCTCAATGGGATGTTTTATTTTGTTTTGTTTTTTTTGTTTTTTTTCTTTGTTTTTTGGGGTTTTTTTTTTTTTTGTTTTTAACTCCCCAAACTGAGAGGATGTGGTATTATGGTGTATGGAGGATTGATTGACGACGGATGCGTTTTTATTTGAATGAGGAAATTGTAACGAGTGAATGGGTCGTGAATCCGATTAGCTAGGTAGTGAAGGCCAGCCTCAACCCATTCCCCCTTTTCGGCCTTGTGCCATAATTGTATTAATTTACAATAAATCTCAACAATGGCTAAAATGGTCGAGCTCAAGTCAGCTTTGTGCTGAGTTGGAAAGACCAATTCCGTTACTTCATGATTAGGGTTGCCAAAACAGATCCGAACGATGTCGTTGAAAAGTGGAAAAGAGAAAGGTTCTGTATTTTCCGAAATTGGGGCCATAAAATCGCGCAAGTGATGAGAAACCCTTTCCGAATTCTTTAACTTGCATCATGGGAAAATTTTTTTTTTCTTTTTTTATCTTTATTATTACTTTATTTATTGGTTTTATTTAATTTTCCTACAATCAAAAAGTGTTTTAGCTGAGCTGATAATTTTAAGTAGAAGGCTACTAGTTTCTATGTGCTTGGCATACGCCTAACTTTGTGAAATCGGCCTTGATTTTCAGGTATTTTTAGATGGATGACAAAATAAAAAAAAAAAACAAGTTACATCGACATATCACAAATAACAAATTTATTTACCTCTGGGGTTGTGACCCCAGCATAAACTGTGAACTCAAACGTCTGGATTCACCATTCCCGTCTTCTTTTTTGAGGTTTTCTTTGTCATTTCACCCTAAAAATGGCAATAAATCCGCCAAGAGTGTAAGAAAAAAATGTGAAAATAAAAAAAAAAACTATTAAAGACACCTCCAAAACGAAGTTGCCATTTTTAATCAATATAAAGAACATTTATTGTCTTCCATCAGCTGATGGCTGATGCTAACTTCAAGGAGAACAACTCATTAGGCCTTTTTGGTCTTACGTTTTCTGGCGTGAAGTGGAGGGATTCTATTGAATCAACTGCTAGGTCTCCTGATAGGAAAGTTGGTTCACTGTGTCATAACAGATCATTTTCCTCGACAGAATTCATCTTACACACTCTGACAGACAGATAGATTGAAAGATAGATAGATACTGAAGATAGCTAGCTAGATTGATTAATAAATATTGAATATGATAGATATTAAACATGACAGATTGATAGATAGATGAATAGATATATATTGAACATGATAGATAGTTTTTGAATATGATAGATATTGAACAATAGATAGATAGATAGATAGATAGATAGATAGATAGATAGATAGATAGATAGATAGATATTGAACATGATAGATAGATATTGAACGTGATAGATACTGAACTAGATAGATAGATAGATAGATAGATAGATAGATAGATATCGAACATGATGGATGGATAGATATTGAACATGATAGATATATAGAAAGATAGATATTGAAGATGATAGATTGATATATATTGAAAAAGATAGATAGATAGATAGATAGATAGATATTGAACGTGATAGATAGATAGATAGATAGATAGATAGATAGATAGATATTGAACGTGATAGATAGATAGATAGATAGATAGATAGATAGATAGATAGATAGATAGATATTGAACGTGATAGATACTGAACTAGATAGATAGATACCGAACTAGATAGATAGATAGATAGATAGATAGATAGATAGATAGATAGATAGATAGATATTGAACGTGATAGATACTGAACTAGATAGATAGATACCGAACTAGATAGATAGATAGATAGATAGATAGATAGATAGATAGATAGATATTGAACGTGATAGATACTGAACTAGATAGATAGATAGATAGATAGATAGATAGATAGATAGATAGATAGATAGATAGATAGATATCGAACATGATGGATGGATGGATAGATATTGAACATGATAGATATATAGAAAGATAGATATTGAACATGATAGATAGATAGATAGATAGATAGATAGATAGATAGATAGATAGATAGATAGATAGATATCGAACATGATGGATGGATAGATGGATGGATAGATATTGAAGATGATAGATATATAGAAAGATAGATATTGAAGATGATAGATAGATTGATAGATATTGAACAAGATATATAGATAGATAGATAGATATCGAACATGATGGATGGATAGATGGATGGATAGATATTGAAGATGATAGATATATAGAAAGATAGATATTGAAGATGATAGATAGATTGATAGATATTGAACAAGATAGATAGATAGATAGATAGATAGATAGATAGATAGATAGATAGATATTGAACGGAATGATAGATAAATTCCCTTCCGATTTCTTGTTTCCCTAAAATCTTCAAAATCTAAATGCAACGCTAATCGCCATCTATCTGAAATCTTGTTCGTTTATTGCGCTTTCTCCTCACTAGTTTTCTCATTCTCTTTCACTCCCAGTAACCCCATTGCGTCTTAGTGGCATTATCGCCTTGCTTAGGTTGAAATGATTACAAGAGAAAGCGAGAGGGAGAGAGAACAATAAATTAACAGGAATCCAGATGTCAAAAGTTAACCATTGACATTGCATTTATATCTTTGAAGATCAACGTTGATTGGAAAGCAAAAAGCAGGAAGAGAGTTCCACAAATTGAAATCAAGACGTGTCATGATTTCAATTTCTTCATGTTTACTTTTGTGTTTTTATTTGTTTATTTATGTTCTCCTTCTAACGTTGGGTAAAAAGAAGAAGAAGAGAAAAAGACTCAAAGCAATTTCTAGAAATTCCGACATGGAAATACACCTACGTAAAGAAAGTTTTACTTTATTTAATTTTTTAAATATTTATTTCTTCCTCCACCGCCCTAAAAAAAAAAAAAAAAAAAGGATTTTATTATTTTCCATTTTGCCGTTCATATCGTCCTGGGTATGACGATAAACTGCATCCGGCAGCAAGGCGCCTGATCGGGAGATTAGAGGTTTTGAGGTCGTCGAACCACCACTTAATTGCTGTTGTTCCCAGGTCCACACTGATTCGGGATGGTAGCACCAGTTAGAGTCCTAGCATTGGGTAAATAGTGAACCCCCAAACAAAAACCACACCCTATGAAATTATAACAATACATTTTTATAATAAGAATACCTGCAATACATTTTTATATAAATTACCAACAATATATATTTGTAGTGAAATTACCAACAATACATACTTAAAATAAAATTACGAACCATACCTATTTATAGTAAAATTACCAACAATACTTATTTATAGCGACATTACCAAGAATATATATTTATAGTGAAATTACTAACAATACTTATTTATAGTAAAATGACTGATAATACATTTTATCTGTAGTTGAAGGCATACAGTTGCGTTAAAAATATACTGAGTTGATGCCATAGAATTGTGTTCGAAATATTTAGATTTCGGCATTAAATAACCCATAGAGGTGTTGATATGCCGCTAAATAAAATCAGCCAACCAACTTTAGTTGATATAGTGCCTAAAGAAACTTTAACGAAGTTACCACTTTATACCTCCATTACAGTCTTCCTTTTGGTCACTAAATAATCCGTAATAGTCTTCCTAATGCTAAATTTCTTTTTGATTATTTACGCATTGAGTAATATTAATTCAGTTGGGGTAAGTGAGGCATGCGCCACCCTGAGCAGCCGTTGTAACCCTCTTCTCTCAGTGAGCCATTTAGTCAATAACAAGTGAACATGTCTCTTTGCCTGAGCCTCCTGCTTAGTCATTGTTCGTTTGCTCCGAGGACTTCTGTTGCTTTGAATTCTGGGTAGACGACACGTGTTCACTCTGGGTAATATGTCTGAATTTTCTTCTTTCCTGGATTATTTACCAATTCATTAAAGATACTGGAAGTAAATGTTTTCTGGGTTGGCGTCATCCACCTGATAGCCAAGGATCCAAACAGCAGCATAACCCCTTAGGAGACTATCCCATCAGCAGATATATAATCACGTGACTGTGAATGGGATCAGGGCCGTTCAGTAGTTTCCGGTAGGACCTCCCGATGTTATGATGAGGTGTACAGTTACTGTACTTCTAGAAAATGTAATCAAACAAATTCATGCAGGCACTGCATGTGGGTGTGGCTACTTCGCTACCTCACTTGTCTTCACCCGTTCCGAAATCTCAATATCAAACCATGTCCTCAACAATACCAAATAAAAAAATACAAACCCAACCCCACAAAAACAAAAGTATATCCCCTAAGTATAACATCACCTACGCAAATGGAATGGGTCTGCGCTCCAACTTTCCAAAAACTGGTCACCATCTTCTGAAACTGGTCTTAACCTATCTAAGGATTTCACAGACCCGGACTACTCACCCTAACAGTAAAATAAGATTTTCGAAATAGCCATACACTCAGCGTTAAGGATGTGTTTCCCATGTGACTGAGACCCCGTAACTGAGGACCCATATTTTCCGTTCATGTACTTTCGTGTGGTCCTCGTTCATAGTATATCTTTCATTTTCACTCTCTACTGTTCTCAACATTATGGAACTGTAATGTTTGACAAAATAGCCGAGAAGATTTATAAATCCCTCTCGGATAATCCCTCAACATTCATACTTGCGGTGACCTCAATAATCACCAAAAGACTGATTAGTCCATTCAATCAGAATCATTGAAAAAGGCAGACACTGTCATGACTTCTCTATCGCTTATGATCTTACCCAGATAGTTGATCATCCCACTCGTATTCCTGACACAACGGGACATCACGCACATATCTTTCTCACATCTTGCCCTGAAAAAATGCTCCGCTGAATTACTACCTCCCTCGGCCACTTTACTTCAGTTGATGCCAAACCGAAAGCCTCCCCACTGATGTACATTGGGCGACGTTTCGATAGGCCAAAGCTGACTGGGACAGCTTCAGATCTTACATTATGGAAGTTTTCCTTTCAGCTTTCTTCATAGAGCTTCCATAATAGTGAATAGATCCTCTCAGGCATGGATAGTTTTATCGCAAAGAAAAAATACCAACAGAAATCAAATAGCCTTGTTTGCTGCAGTCATAGCCCATCTACTACCATCTAGTAGGACTCTTGCTGTATTTAGAAATGTCCGTAAGAGAAGTTTCTAGAAAGAACAACTATACAACAAAGGTAAAGCATCGTTGACAACAGTCATAAATAGCCCTGAGGTTATTTCATTCATAGGACAAGGCGAAGCTCTTTGTAATGAACTTTGATTCCAATTGACGTAAGATGATAAAGACAACCCTTAACTTACTCCTTTTTTCACGAAGCACAAACATTGTAATATCTCTATCAAAAAGCTTCCAGCATTATCAAAAGTTTTGACAGTCTAAAATAATAAAATCCCAGTGGTTCTACCCATATTGCTGAGATGAGGCATTATGTACACTATTTACATTATTAGGACTATTGTCCTCATCTTTGTAGCCATATTTATTACAACGTTTCGGCCGTTGTACGCTCTGGCCTTCTTCAAGGACACATGGCACAGTGGATAAAGACGTTGGTTAGATCCAGTGACAAGACCCAAAGAGTGTAAGTTCAATACCCGGTTAAAGCAGTGGGGAACTTGAAGAGGGGAATTAACAGGAGATAACTGATAACTGACATCCATTAAACATGGCACGTGGAAGTAGAACAGTCTACCCCAGTCTAAAGGGTTCAGTTCGACATTCAAATCAACTGAAGAATGCAGAGCGTACAACGGCCAAAACGTTTGTAATAAATATGGTGACAAAGATGAGGACAATAGTCCGAATAATGTACATAGTGTACATAATACCTCATCTCGGAAATATAGACAGATACTGAAGAAGGCCGAAGCCTACAACGACCGAAACGTTGTAATGAATATGGCGGCAAAGATAAGGACAATAGTCCGAATAATGTAAATGATCCCAGTGGTTCTTGTTAAAAATATCAGCTCCGAGTTAACTCCAATCTTGGCAAAACTGTTTAACTGATGTCGGAAGGAGAGACACTTCCCAATGCCGTAGGAGGTGTCAACAGTGTGCCATGATTTTCAAGGGTGCAGTTGGGAGCTCATCCCTGTTGCAATATTGACCCATTAGCCCCTTTAGTGTCATCGGCAAATTCTTCAAATTTACATTCTACAAGAAGCTTGTTGAACACATCAACAAGAAGAAGCTCCTGAGCGATAACCAATATAAATTTCGCTCTTTTAGTTCCAAAGATGATGTCATAACTGTTATTAGTCACAGAATCAGCGATACACTAGACAATAAATTAATCATGTGGGCCACTGCCCAAAATATCCTTTGTCAAGGTGTAGCATCGGAGATTGAAACGTAAACTCTCCAGCTATGGAATATCTGGAAGGGATATCTCAATTATAAAGCCCTTCCTAACAGGTAGGTCCATGAAGGTCGTCATTAACCGATAAAATGAGCAAATTTTATAAATATTTCCAAAGTATGGACCTTCGGAGTAACATCGGTGAAACAACCTGCCTTTGATGCAATTACTGCTGTAGTGAGTGCGTTCCTAAATGGGCGCCCCACTCTTGCGATTTTGTTGAGCAAGTTTCGTAAATTATCATTGTTGACTGAGTTTAATCGAGTACAGGTTCACCATAGGAAGTAAACAAATGAGAAATAGAACTCGAAATTAACGATTGCGTGTGCGCTCTCTCTCTCTCTCTCTCTTTCTCTCTCCCCCCTCTCTCTCTCTCTGTCTCTTTTTCTCTCTCTCTTTCTCTCTCTCTCTTTCTCTCTCTCTCTCTTTAACTCTCAAGCGTCACTATGGATACGTACGCTCGTGTGATTGGTAGAAAAGTGCACGTGCTTTTGAACGTAGATTCAATATCAAACAACAACAAAAAAAGCGGCGGGCAGGAAAAGGAAATAGATATTGAAAATCTAGGTCAAATAATTGCCAAAGCGCCATTCCCTTATTTGTTGCATTTCAATGTATTTATTGTATTATTTCATCTTCTTTTTTTTTTTTTTTTTAATTTACTTCTTATTTTTCTTAATGACAAACAAACAGATTAAGGATCGGACTCTCTGACAATGTAGTCAATCAATTCTTCTTCTTATCTAAGTGCATGCACTTATCTCTTGTACACAGATTTGCTGGTCTTGGGCGTTTGGAAGGGTTTACCCTATGTCCCACTTCCTCTTCTTTTATGTGCCGTGTCATTTCAGGATGTGGTGATCAGAGATGATTCTCCACAACTTCCTATCACTATTTCCATTTGCACAAGTTTACTAGCTACCTCCCTCCATCCCTCAATATGTCCCGTGAGTGTCAAATTCTTCAAACCCTCTTTTCTCGTTATGTGTCCCAGGAATTTCAACTACCTTTTTCAGATCCTAAGAAAAAGTGTCCTTTTCGTTTATATTTTTCTTAAAGCTTCCTCGTTGCTCATATGTTCCGTCTATAGATGCCTTAGCATTTTCCTGTAGAACCCACATATCCTTTGATTCAAGTTTTCTCTTCATCTGTAAGAAAATTGTCTTACAGTCATTGACGTATAACTGGACTGATATTGCATAAAGATTGATCACTCTTTCCAACGAAATGTTCCTGTTTCTTACTATTTTGCTTAGTTGCTGGAAGGCATTTTAAACTATTCCAATGCCTCATGGAAATTCTGTCGCTGTTTCTGTACTTGAATTATTTTGACGTTTCCAATTTGTAGTTCTTAACTTGGGTTATCCCTTTTGCTAACAACCATGCATTCAATCTTCTTACAAGTAAAGTTTTCTTTTCTGTCTACCATCAGTATGGAGTCATTTGTATATCTTTTGTCGAG